GGGGGGGTCCCCTTGGCATCCTGTCACCACGACTCCTCAGGTTCCAGAACATCAACCCCCCCCCCAGGAATCTCCTTGTTTACTGTCAACGCTCAAAGTCTCACCCTCATGCTTCCACCGGTGATGATACTAATATCGCCTCCTAGCTTAGAGTCCTCTGAGCCTGTTAAAATAATACTTTTGCATTCTCTTTGTTAAATTTTCTCCTAGGAGGTGGTAGTGAATTTTCCCAAATGCCTCTCTGGTATTTTCGCATGATCATATGATTTTTCTTAAGCTATTGATGGGGTGGATTCTATTATTAGATCCTCTCCAGTTGAACAACCGTTAGCTTCCTGTGATCAGCCCTAATTGCCACATTATTCTTTCATCGTGTTGCTTCCAGAAGCCTCTCGTTACAGTCCCTAATGGGAGTTGGGTCTCAATTGTAGTTGGGGATGAATTATGAGGTGGTTTTGCGTATTTTCTGCACGTGAAGCGACCTCTCCAGCATAGAGTCCTTCACAATAAAATGTTTCCATAACGTCTGGGGCCAGGAACGGACAGGTTGGGATTGTTTAAGATCCGCCATGATGTCCATTTTACGAAGTCTGTTTTAGTCTACTCCGTCGGTGAAACAGTCCTGGGCAGGTTCCGTTTTAGGATCAGTTCTGCACAGCTCGTTGTCGCAAGCGGCCTGGCCCGCAGGCCCTGGGTGCAGGCTGAGTGGGTGAGCCGTGGCCGCCGTCAGGCCCAGGTGAGCTCTCTTCCCATTTGCTTCACTTTAAAGACTTCTCCTTGGCAGGCTTTGGCCTGTTTTAATTACTAATTTCTGGGACAAAGTCTCACAATATGCGTCCCAGTGTAGTTTCATCATTTTTGTTTCCTCTTCTCCCCTTTGACTTAGGTTTCTTATGGTCACTAATGTTTTACACAGGTGAGATGGATTGCTTCCCTTTTTTTGGATAAAAATACCATCTTTGATGTTTCTATGGCCACCCTAGATGTCCTGTGTGGTGGTAGATTTTCTTGTTCTTTCTCTACCAGGCTGTTCTGTTCTTCTTTCTCACTTACTGGAGTTTTGCTGACCGCAGAGGGCCAGTGAGGTCTCCACAGCTCTGCTTCCACGTGTGGCCATTTCTTGTTTGTGTCACTGGTTTGTGTCCTGGTTGCTTGGGAAGACGCGGCTTAGGCTTTGAGAATGTGAGCTCCTGCTGCTGCATGACAGCTTTGCAGATAGCCACATTGTGTCTCAGGCCCTGTGAAATGCGTGTATGCCAGAGATGTTGGCACACATCTAGTGTGAGAAGCAGTGACATGCCCCCGGGAGCGCCCAGGCAGGTCAGACAGCACCAGTGTGTCACGCAGGTGGCAGCTCGGGACTCTGCAGTGGATGAGTTTATGAGTAAAGGCAGAACTGGCCGCCATCCCCGGCACCAGCCTGGTGCATCCTGCTCCGCCACATTCACCTGCATTTGTGTGGCTGAGAACTGTTTGCACTCTGATCAATTTTCTATGCCTATGAATCTTAAAAGTGGTTCCTCACCCAGGAAAGACTGCTGCCCCAGAAGGTCATTGCACAGGAGTCCCAATCCCATCTTGACCTTTGCCCATTTTAGGGGCAGTCACTCACATTTTCCTGACCACACCTTTGCTAGTTATTACTGTGTAGTGTTTCTGTCCCATGGGGCAGCAATGAGCTAATTTATCAGATTGTGGTTTGCTGGAGTACTACACAGTTGTGAAAAGGATTAAATAGTGGCATTTGGGACACAATGAGCAGAGCCCAAGGTGATTGATTATGTGCAGCGAAATAAGTTGGAATGTGAAAGACAGATTGGGTGGTTTCACTCACCTATGGAGTAACTGAAAAACACACCAGCAAAATCGAGCAGGAATAAATCTGGGACTCAGTGAAAGAACTTAATGGTTACCAGAGGGAGCAGGGGAGAGTTCAGGGTATGGCAGAGGGAGGCAGACAGAGTAAGGGCACTAATGGCTTGGTAAGTAGAGGGTGAGTGGAACATGTGCACATATGGAAGAGCAAAAAATGTAACCCCAAATCAGAAAGAAGATATTTAAAAAATTATAACTTAAAAAAACAATTGTTAAAAAAATTGTTATTCAGTCATTATGCTTCTAATGTTTTTGCTTTCCATGCCATAGCCACATTGGTTGATACAGATATAGAGCTTTGTTTTTTTAATTATAATAGTTTATTTTTATAATTTTGTGCCTTTTTCCATCTCAGTTGTAATCCCCATGTGTTTCCCATCACCAATTCACCCATGTGCCATCATCATAGTCCAGTGCACTGCCCCCCCCACCATTTTTGATCCCATTCCCCATTCCCCTTCTATAAAATGTCTCTGGTATATAGTTGTTCATTATTATTATTATTATTCCCTCCCTGCACCCCCATCCTTTATGCTCCTGCTATGAGTGAAACCATC